TCCTGATCTGGCTCCACGGGCCGCCGCCCCCGCCGCTGCTGGCAGAGCCTTGAAGCCCAGGCTCTGGATGCCCCTCGTCCCAGGCCTGTGCCCCCAAGGTGCCTTCCGTAAGGACTCCCCTCAGTGTCTGCCTCCCGACTGCAGGTCTCAGCCTTCCTCCTCCCCTGCCCGCATAGGCAGGCTCCCTCAGGCCTAGCTCGCAGGGCTGGGATGGTCAGGGTCTGTTCTGAGCCTGCCCGCGGAACCCCCTTGGTCGTGGCCAGATCTGATCCAGGGCCCCCTGTCCACACGGGCCAACCCAGCACAGAGCCTGGTCCGACTGGTCGGCTGCGGAGGAGAGTATGGAGAGGGGTGAGGGCCACGCAGGTGTCCTGGGACCAGGTCATGGGGTCTCCCCACGTATTCCTGGTGATGCACGCCCATGATCCCCACTGCAGTGAGGGCCACGTGGGGGTCCTGGGACCAGGTCTCAGGGCCTCCCACGTACTCCCATGATGCGTGCCTGTGATCCTGGCTGGACGAGGCTGGGTCACGTGTGAAGACCCTATGAGGGGTGCCTCTCTTACTCTCTCTCTCTCAAGAAGGAAAGAAACTATAGAAATAAAATAACTAGGAGGTCCAGGAAAAGCAAAAACTACCCAAGACAGGAAATGCAGTCTTAACACAATATTGGCTTCATGGCCAACAAGCTTTTCATAGCCACAACGTAAGACTGTTTGCGCAGGCATTTAGAGCCCATCTGCAGAGAAGGCCAGGAAGGTTAACCATGGCATGGCGAGGGGGCATGGTTTAGAGCTGACTTCGTGAAAAGGACAGGCGAGAGGATCTGGGAGAGCAAGGAGGCTGGAGGGCTGGGGGCCGAGGCACGCTGCCAGGAGCTGAGGGGACCAGGGATCGGTAGGTCTCTGCCCCAGTAATGAGGGACGTGCCTCAATGTGGCCCACCGGGGAGGGAATGGGTGAAATCACGGGTTGGCCTGCGTTGCCCAAGGTCCAGTCTGCAAAGCCAGCCTGTCTCCCGCAGTGGGTCCTCTGGCCAACTAGCTTGGCCTTTTACTTTTTTGCCCCAGAGGCCTGGGTACCCTTCCTGGGCCATGAGCCCTTTCTCCTTCCTTTGCACAACCTGCCCAGCCACCCCATGTCCTGCCATTTGTCCCTTGGACCAATCCGTGTCACAGTTCGCCTGAGTGCAGACTTCCTGAGCATTTGGGCCTTTTGATTCCCCCAGAACCAAGACAGAGGCCGGCAGAGGATGAGCAGGGCCATGGCGGCCAGGGGGGACCAGTTAGCAACAGGAGTGGCAGGCCATAAATCCCCAGGGAACAAAGGGCGGCCAGCCTGCAGACACCCAGGCCTCTTGTGGACAGTCTGCCTGGGAGACTCAGAATCTCCTTTTGGTTTGGAAATAAAGGAGGGAGGGGGTGGCCTTGGGGTTAAATGGTAAATAAAAATGCAATTAGGAGTCCCCGAAGCCACTCAGAAGCTCAGTGGAACAGCCATACCTGGCCAGGGAGGGTGCCGAGAGGCCTCTGTGCTTGGGAAGACTCCTTGTGTCCCATCAGCACTTGAGCGAAGCAGCCAGGCTGGCAGGCGGAGTCGGCCCTTCCTCCTGCTCACAGAGCTTCTAGGAGGCTGGGCACGGGTCTGGGATCTGTTCATTTCTGTTCCAACCCTTGGGGTCCTATTTGAAAAATGGGAGGAAGTGGAGGGCAGGCCTCTCTAGGCCTTCATGGTTTTGGTCAGTCTTCACTAGGTCTCACCATCACAGAGAAAGGGCTGGAGTGAGAGGTCTGTGCCTCTCTACCTGTGTCGGCCCTGAGGGGACACGTGGCTTTTCTGGCCTGGTGTCCTTCTGGCCTTTCTGCCTTCAGCCCCCGCCAGCACACAGGCAGCCAGCCCAGGCGGCAATAAAGGGAACAGAGTGGGTGCTGGGGGTCAGCGCGGAGGGGTGGTCTGGGGGCGGAGCCAAGCAGCCAGGCTCCTCCATCTGCAAGGAGAAAGACTGGGTTGACATGATTGCATGATTAGATTTGCATATAGAAAGCTCATTTCTGTTGCTGAGGGACACCCCCCCCTCCTCCTCCACAAGAAGGGGACCCTCAGGAGCAAACTGTAAAAGGGAAGCCACAAAGGAGGCCTTTGGGATCTGAGATTCTTGGATGCAGAATTTCTGGAGTTCTTTTTTTTTTTTTTTTGAGAGTTTTTTGCTATAGGGTGCATGTGGTCACCAGAAAGACAGAGAGAGACAGACAGAAAGCGAGAAATCACCCCCCAGGGGGGATGGCCACGCTGCAATCCCTTCTCCTCCATTCTCCTCTCGGGATCTTGGGCACGCACACACGCACTTGCGCCCGGTGTGAGTTTTAAGCCACTGAGTTCGGGACTCGAACTGTGGTCAACTACGTGGGAGTCCAGCGACATAGCCATTACACGAACTGCTGGTCCCCAGAGTTCTTTTTAAAAAATCTTCTGATAACCTTTTATCTCTACTTAGTTCTTCTGTGGTATATTAAAAGTAAATACAACTGAAAATAAAAATATACTTGCTTTATTTACCAATTTTCTAAAAGGCAAAAATGTCATAAAAAGACATAAGCAGTCACACAGAGGTATTGCACTGGGTAACGAAAGTTTGGTTTGCACGCGAACAAACCACTTGTCCGGCAAGGCTCGACAAGTCATTACACAAACTCTCGGAGCTTATTTACATACCTTTTGAGGAATATATTAAAAAGAAGGCTCAGTTTAAAATAGAGAAAAGTTCTTATGACACCCGTGTAAGCACACACACTAAAGAAACGACTCGATGCTCGGCACCGTGTAAACAGATTCACAATTTTTCAGCATGTGCTGCAGCGACGCGGTTCACGATTAATGAGCACGCATTAAATAATCAAATAATGCTGACGGTAAACATTCCCAGCAGGAGAGGACGCCCCGGCAGTGCTGTGTTTGGGAAACATAAACGTGACCTTGGACTCCGCCTACCCCTCACGGTTGGCCTTGAGAAACAGGAAGCAGTTTGTAACGTCTGATTTCCACAAGAATGCAGACCGCTCCGTCCTCTCGGGCATCTGAAGGTGACATTTGGTAAACTAAAAGGAGAAAATTAAAGCGTTCTTGTGTTCATGAAGATCAGGGTTCACATCAGGCATAAGGTTTTACTAGGAAAGCCGGCTAGAGTGTGAGAAGCCTTCACTTTTCATGTAAGTTGCTTCTCCATCAGACAGCAAGGAAAACCCTGCCTCCTCTCAAGTTTCATAGACTTGGTCCAACTTCAAGTTGATTGTTCTATCAGCGGCAACTTCTCATTAGCAACAGGGACCGATATTACATTTTCCCAATCAATCTTTGGGCTGTATGACGCAGCACGAGGTTTTTGAAGAGCTGGACCAACTGGCCTCATGTTTTTGAAGTGCCCGATGATCAGAAGGTGCCCACGATGCGGGCAGATGTCACTGGCGGAGCCCCGATGCTGCACTGAGTGAGGTCAGGCTGAGGAAGGGGTGAGGCCGCACCCAGCCTAGAATGCAGCTGGATAGGAACGGGCGCTCGCTGCACCCCTCGAGACACAGCACAGCCAGGAGCCGGGACACTGGCTCAGGTGCAGTGGCTGCTGTCAGGGGCGGCCCTGGGCCATGAGCGGGTGTCTGGAGGCTGCAGTCGGACGGCAGGACAGCAGCCTGGTCCTAGATGTGGCGGGGGGAACGTCTCTGCGGGGGGGCGCGCCCACAAAAC